GCAAAAAGTAAATGACATGTGTCTTACTTCTGGCATTGCTGCAACTGATCCCCACAGCGAGTCTAAAATCGTTTCCCCTCCCCCAAGCTGTAGAAAAAGGCCGTGCTATATGGGTGTGGGTAGCGGTCTCTCTGCAATGGTCAAACCTGAAGCTCTCCAATCAGCAAAGTTGATGCTCCCTACAGGGGGCAAAGCAGTCCTTCTCTGCAACCTACAGACTGGGGGGAAGGGGGTGGTAGAGGATTTTAGGCTTGCGGTAAGGATCAGTTGCAGTACAGCAATACTGTAATATCAATACAGTAAGTAATTGGTCATTTACCTTTTTACTACATATTGAATATATCCAGCTAATATTATAAGTTGCTTCAAGTGGGCTTAATAAAAGATTGGGACAATTCCTCTAACAATGCTGGTTTAGGCAACACTGCCGTAATATGTTGATAAATGAGGCTCAAAGTGCTGACCAGTTAAAGAAGATTTTGTGCTTTTTTGTAATATATATATATGTGGCTAGGGTTATTGAAATAGAGATGCTATGGGGCTCTTGTTTCCATTTCATAGTGAGGCCTAGAGCTGGAGCCGAGCTTCTCATCTCTGTGAAACTTGAGATCACCTAGGTTGGATCCTGTGGTTGGATGTCTTCTCCTCTAGGGGTATACACTACAAAATAAACAGCCCTTTGCCCGCACCTCTCAACACCCTGTGACTCAAACTGATGCTTCAACATCTCTTCCTAATCCAGAGAAAACAAGTTACTTTTCACAGAGTATAGAAAGAAGACAAACAATTCCTCTACCTCTACCAAGAGATCCACAACATCTGATGGCATTTTCTCGACCAGGATTTCTATGACCCTCAGAATCTCTCCCTTCGCTCGGGCCAGGGCGGTGGTGTGGATATTTTGCTGAGATTGCGTGTTTGCAGCCAGAGCCGTGTGCCTGTGGACCTGCAGAGACAGATTATAGCACAACACAGAAAAAAATAATAATTTACAGTATATTGAGAGCTGCAACGCAACGAGCGGCTACAATTCCAGAAAAATACACTGGAGACGGATGAATACTTGCTTCCCCTGTCTAAACCAGGGACGTCCATCTTTTTTATTTGATTTTGGGGCCCTAGCTGTTGATGTACCATTTTATGTAACATTCAGCTGTCAGTTTGGCGATGCTGTGGTCAGCACAATACTATAATGGTTAGTGCTTTTGTTTAGCAGCACCCGTGTCCTGGGTTTACTTTCTACCATAGACTCATTACATGGACTCATGGACTAAGTATGCTGTTCCTGCTGATGTGGGTTTTCCCTGGGTTTACTGACTTCATTGTACTAGCCAGTTTATTGGATTTCACCAAAACTGACCTTAGAGTGTTTGTCTTTTATTGGTGAGGTTGGAATAAACATTTCTGGGGTAGGAACAGTTGTGAATGATTCCATGCACTTTAGAGCTGCAACAATTATTTGATTAAGTCGATTAAAATTGACGATGGAAAACGTTGTCAACGTTTTCCATCGTCGATTCGTTGGCTAAAATTCAAATTTCCCGTTCGCCGCTGCTGCCCACGTCGGTTAAGTCGCTCACGCCATGCATACGCCGGTAAACCCGCTCACGCTACGCCGCTTACGCCACGCCCACCGCACACGCTGAGGACATGCATCTGGCCCTCCCCTCCCGGTGAGCTTCCCGACTCTCCACTGCCCGCCGACAACCAACAACACCGTCATTCAAGGTAAGGCCGGGAGCTTTTTTTTTTTTATAAGCGGCACACTGCAGAACACCAGCAGCTATAGAGGAACACCAAATCCCAGCAATAATACATTTAACACCCTGTATAATGTACTATTGCTGGGATTTGTTGTCCCTCTATAGCTGCTGGTGTTCAGCAGTGTACCGCTGCATTATACATTGGTATTCTGTAGAGCTGCAACAGTTATTAGATTAAAATCGACGATGGAAAACGTTGTCAGCGTTTTTCATCGTCGATTCGTTGGCTAAAATTTAAATTTCCCACTCACGCCCACCTGTTCGTGGCTCCATACACTAGTTACGCTATGCACGCCGTGGACGCCACGCCCACCGCGCACACGGCCACCGCACAAGCCGGACACACGCCCGCAGAGCACGCCGCCGCAGCGACTTACAGGGGTTCAGACACAGGTAACAGCCTGTATAATGTATTATTGCTGGGATTTGTAATGAGGGGCGGCTTACGATGACTGCAAACGGGCAGTGTGCGTGTGCGCACACCGGCCCGTTTGGCAGTTGTCGAACCAGCAGGCCACTAACTCGCCGAGAATCGTACGATTCCCGGCGGGTTTTCTAGCATGCTGGTTCGACGGAAGACGTGCGACCGTACAGTAGAAACGGGCGCACGACTTCCATACACTGCACGATTATTGTACGATCGCGGGATTTCCCACGATTCTCGTACGAGAATCGTGCAGTGTATGGGCACCTTAAGGGAAGAACTGATCATATGTTGTGCACCTACCAGCTCCTCGTTTTACTATATCCCGCTTTAGAATTAGACCAGAGCGCTTCTTTAACTATTGCTCTGTAATACAGTGGAGCTTCACTTCATACATTACTGTTATTTGAACATGCATAGATCTTTAAGAGTAAAATCGACATATTGGATATCCCTCTGAATGATAGGGTGATCAATCGCATTTCATTACAATTCTGTCATAATAGATAGTAAACTGGGCTTAAGGAACAGAACACTCTCCAGGGAATGAGAAAACCTTCAATAATTACAGCTGCTGCCTCTAATTGACAGTCGGTAACATTTGGAGGGAACTGCAGCTGGGAAAGTTATCACAGGACAAGAACATTTCTCTTACACTGTTGCACTTGAGTCCATCAGAAGGCCACGTACCCGCAGTGTGAGCTAGGTAGAGTATGTATATGTAGTTAATGTAGAGCCTATATTTCAGGGCCAGTTTAGACTACTTTATATACAAAAAGCCCAGGAAATCTTACCTGTCGGGTCCTAAAAATTGTTTATAGTAGCACTGCTAAAAAACAGGAACCTTCTGGTGTCTGTATACACATGATATACTTCAAAATAACCCTTGTGTGCCCCTGTAATCCTTCTGGAGCCTACATCCAGGATGTAAAAATGGCCTCAATTTCTGCCCAAGTGTGCATCAAAGAGACCCTGTCAGATCTCAAAATGACTCAAATGGCCAGTTCCCTGCAAGAAAAAAGGTAGTATAAAGCTGGCCATACACCTATAGATGGAGGAATCTCCCACTGGGCCAAGCTTCAGTATCTTGCTACCTGGCCCCGCTGGCTCTCAAAATACCTAAAACGATCTGATTGGATGCAGGCATTGTTCAGGTATTTTGAGAGCCAGCGGGGTCGACTAGCAAAAAACTGGATCTTGGCCCAGTGGGAGAATCCTCCATACACACAGTTTAGCGTAGATGGAGGAATCTGTGGCACTTTTTCATCTGACCATAGAAAGTCTGCAGATAATCTATAGGTGTATGGTCAACTTTACATTCCTCTCTGGCATGTCGTGATTTCTACATCCCCTCCATTCCAGCGTTATAGCCTCAACCCACATTGACACGGACTTCCCCAAATTAATTTGGGGTTTCTTAAAGCCCTGCCATTCCCGACAAAAATTCAGCCCCTAAACACTCAACAATTTAATGCCAGAAGTTTTACTTGCCACAAGGGTTCTGACATTGTTTTATTGAATGGTGGGGTTGGTAATTTTAGCATAATGGGGCAGAGCTTTAATTGTATCTATAGCCAATGCTTTCTTTTCTGATAGAATAGGAAAAGGTAAGAACTTCTGTTAAGTTTTTTTTTTTTTACTGTCTGTAGTAAAATGTCCCCTCACTTCTAGTCCCAGGGACATATCAGCAAACAACATTGTTGTGGATAATTAATATGTTTTTGGATGCACGTGAAGCACACACCAATCGGAGTGTAACTTGTTAATGAGTTCATGAGGACAATAAATGCTCTTTCCCCAACGAATTCAGCACATGTTACTAAATGAACGCAACCAAAACTTTTTTGTAATCTTAAATAGCATGAGAAAAAGTACTATATTCTATGTAGCATTATGGGAAATGTCTCCACACTGCCTGTTCAGATAATATCCCACATGTGGAAAAGCCACAAAGTGTTAACAGGGCAGGAAGTTATGGGACAGAGCATCAATGTGGCCTCACAAAGCAGGATCCAAACTTTCTTCACTTTACCAAAACGTTTTGCAGTTTGTATCTCTGTTTAAGATTTCTCACCTCAGTTCTTGTCACGGTACATGGTTACTGGGATAGGAAATGAGGGGACATTTCTCTTTGGGGGGCACTAAAAGCAATAAAAAACTGACAGATGTTCCAACACTTCTCCTCACATGGTAAATACATTTCATAAAATCATATAGATTAGTTTAAAAAAAACTGGGTAAAAAGTATCTGTGTCACCTAAAGCTTAAAAAACCAACACTTTTAATTGCTGAAAGTGAAGTCCTGTGTAACCAATATATTTCTATTGAGAGAACTTTGTCCTAATTTCTGCCTCTATGAGGGCTGCAAATTAGCTGGTCCCAAAAATCAGACACCTGGAATAATTTGTTGTCTGTGCCCCTCATTCTTTTTGACATCAGGAGGTCAGTGGGAGGCTGTCACTTAGCCCGTACAAAGCAATGACAGGCTGACAGTGGCCGCAGCAATTCACCTGTGTTCGGTTATGATCGCACATGGAGTGATTACGTATGTTTAGAGACAGATGATCATCCCTGGACAGCTTGCATCCAGTGGAGATCATTTGTCTCTAACTGCAGGTAATGGCTCTATGTGCAATTACATCTGAACTGGAGTGGACAGCTGTGGTCACCATCAGCCTATCAATGCATTTTACAAGCTGAGTGTCTGCAGCTGTCTGGAACCTTCTGTGAATCCAGCCACAAGAATCGGCAATCACCCTCCAGTAAAACTCCCCTTCTTGTTACTGCCATTTTGTGCACTTTTCAGCATTTCAGCATTCAAAAGTGAGCACACAGCCCAGTTTGCTTGGGGAAATATTTATGCACAAACTCTATTGGCAGATTTTTTTTTATATATTGGTGTGAAAAAAAAAAGACTCTTGGCACAAAGTCAAAAGATTTTTTTTTCTTTTATCAAATCCTCTAGACTTTGCAGTTTAAAGATACTTGATCACCTCTCAAAGAATTACTCCTGTAATAGAGGAGTCTAAATGCTTAATTCTTCCATGGGCAATGAGTCTGAACTCTTGTCTACAAGGGTTAAAGCTTCAGGATTAGTAACTTATGTGTTGGGTACCTGGTCCCCCTGTTGGGCTCTATGCTTTCTCCCACCAGACCCTATGCCACTACTCTGTCCTGTAGTGATGTAGGGGTCAGCAGATAGAACTAAAGTGCACGGGGGTGGATGTGCACATGCACTGTCATCAAACAGTCGCAGAATGAAGATTCTGCAGCAGGCTTTAGTGCTTGAAGACATTGCTGCCCGATGGAGTATTCAATACCAGGAGCAATTGTTAAGATTTTCTTTTTGGTAAGCAGCAGAGTTGATTGAATGAATTTGTTCAAATGACTCTACAGTGAGATCACATTGAGGGGTGCTCTAAAAGGCTGAACAATATGGAGCCTGTTGTCCTGATTTGTTGAGTCCCGTTTTAATGAACTGGGGCTTTATCTAGCTCTGTCCTTTCCAAATGAGATGTGAAATCTGTACGGAATCCCTTAGATAATGTACAACCAGGAAGAAGGCAATTAAAAAAAAAGAAACAGGTTTTACCATTCAGAAAGAATTTGGCGCAGATGCAATGAAAAGATGGGGAGAAGGTTTTACCTCCTTAGCAATCGTTGTTATGAAGGCGGGTGGTCTGGCCGTGGCAATGAGCGACAGAGCGTGTCGTGCCGAGCGGGCTGAGTCTGCTCCCGGGCTCAGGGGCAACCCGATTGTGATGCTAAACAGGGATCAGGCAGAAAGGAAGAAGAATAAAAAAGGAGGCATTAGAAACATATAGAGTGAAAAGATTAGACACAGCTTATAATGTCAGTTCAAGGTCAATGGGATCACTCAAACAGTTAGAATATAATGGACTCCCATCAATGAGCAGTGATTAGGAGTCAGGGTGTTCCTGCATCACATACAAAATCGAATAATTAAGCGTGAAGATTGAAAACAGTATGTGAATCTGTCCGAAGTGTTAAAAGGGTCTTGTTAACAAATGATGCAGCCCCGGCTCTGAATAAATATCACAAAAGACCAGGGCCCAACAACAGCACTGTTTCCAATTTCCAGGCAGGGTTTTAAATGGCAGATGGAGGTGTTTAATAAAAACACTTCCTGTGACTGTCCCAGAGTCCTTTGCAGTTGCTGAATGTCAAAAGCCATGCTTTCTACAATGGGCGGAAGGCTCTGTTAAAGATGTGTACACCAATAATGCATAAAAACATGCTCAAAAGCAGAATACGATTAGGGCAATATTCAACCTCCCTAAAGATTCAAAAAATTATAGGTAAAGACGAGACGTATTCCTTGATTTTGGATAGCTGGATAGAGAAAGGAATGGTTATGGTGTATATACAGCCCATTCTTTTTTGTTTTAGAGTAGCAAAATGTTTAAACCCCTAGTTTTCTGTCTGCGTTTCACCAGGGAGATTTACTATAAGAGAAATGAAATCTCACCTATGAAAGGAAATTCCTATCTTCTGGCATGCTCACTGAAACATTTGTCCCCATTGGATGACTCACCCCATATCTTGTTCTGGTGACAACTAATATTTTAGATCTCTACTAACTTTCTTGCTTAAAGTCACACTAAACTTAGGAGGTACAGTTGGGCAAAAAAGTATTTAGTCAGCCACCAATTGTGCAAGTTCTCCCACTTAAAAAGATGAGAGAGGCCTGTAATTGGCATCATAGGTAGACCTCAACTATGAGAGACAAAATGAGAAAACAAATCCAGACAAATCACATTGGCTGATTTGGAACAAATTTATTTGCAAATTATGGTGGAAAATAAGTATTTGGTCAATATCAAAAGGTCATCTCAATACTTTGTTATATATCCTTTGTTGGCAATGACAGAGGTCAAACTTGTCCTGTACGTCTTCACAAGGTTGGCACACACTGTTGCTGGTATGTTGGCCCATTCCTCCATGCAGATCTCCTCTAGAGCAGTGATGTTTTGGGGCTGTCGCTGGGCAACACGGACTTTCAACTCCCTCCAAAGGTTTTCTATGGGGTTGAGATCTGGAGACTGGCTAGGCCACTCCAGGACCTTGAAATGCTTCTTACGAAGCCACTCCGTTGTTGCCCGGGCGGTATGTTTGGGATCATTGTCATGTTGAAAGACCCAGCCACGTTTCATCTTCAATGCCCTTGCTGATGGAAGGAGGTTTGCACTCAAAATCTCACGATACATGGCCCCATTCATTCTGTCCTGTACACGGATCAGTCGTCCTGGTCCCTTTGCAGAGAAACAGCCCCAAAGCATGATGTTGCCACCCCCATGCTTCACAGTAGGTATGGTGTTCTTTGGATGCAACTCAGCATTCTCTCTCCTCCAAACACGACGAGTTGTGTTTCTACCAAATAGTTCTATTTTGGTTTCATCTGACCATATGACATTCTCCCAATCCTCTTCTGGATCATCCAAATGCTCTCTAGCAAACTTCAGACGGGCCCGGACATGTACTGGCTTAAGCAGGGGGACACGTCTGGCACTGCAGGATCTGAGTCCCTGGCGGCGTAGTGTGTTACTGATGGTAGCCTTTGTTACGTTGGTCCCAGCTCTCTGCAGGTCATTCACTAGGTCCCCCCGTGTGGTCCTGGGATTTTTGCTCACCGTTCTTGTGATCATTTTGACCCCACGGGGTGAGATCTTGCGTGGAGCCCCAGATCGAGGGAGATTATCAGTGGTCTTGTATGTCTTCCATTTTCTAATTATTGCTCCCACAGTTGATTTGTTCACACCAAGCTGCTTGCCTATTGCAGATTCAGTCTTCCCAGCCTGGTGCAGGTCTACAATTTTGTTTCTGGTGTCCTTCGACAGCTCTTTGGTCTTCACCATAGTGGAGTTTGGAGTGTGACTGTTTGAGGTTGTGGACAGGTGTCTTTTATACTGATAACAAGTTCAAACAGGTGCCATTGATACAGGTAATGAGTGCAGGACAGAGGAGCCTCTTAAAGAAGAAGGTACAGGTCTGTGAGAGCCAGAACTCTTGCTTGTTTGTAGGTGACCAAATATTTATTTTCCACCATAATTTGCAAATAAATTTGTTCCAAATCAGCCAATGTGATTTGTCCGGATTTGTTTTCTCATTTTGTCTCTCATAGTTGAGGTCTACCCCTGATGCCAATTACAGGCCTCTCTCATCTTTTTAAGTGGGAGAACTTGCACAATTGGTGGCTGACTAAATACTTTTTTGCCCCACTGTAAATCTTAAAAATGCATTCAAGTACCTTAACTATGAACAAAAATGTATCTTATTTGTGTATCACTCGGCTGTAGATCCTCAAATCATCTCTGAATTGGTGCCGACACTGTCCTTCCTTCTGGAGGGGGGCTACTTTTGTTCCCCATGGTCCGTGTGTGTGTTGTAAAGAAGCTCCAAGCTCGCTAGCATGATGGACTACAATCTCAATGCAAATTAGTAAACTAAACATAGGATTATAGTCTATCTGGCTTGAATTGGATGTCACCACCTAAAAGTGACCTTTCTAAGGATATTACTCCTTTCCCAGCAACATATACTCTTTCCTCACATCTCGCAGTAAAATACTCCACACATCAGAGTATGGGTGAGCATACGACTCCCTCTGCCATGTGACAGCGCTGGGCACAACAGGGGGATTAAGAAAGGAGTCTATTTCTCTGCATAAGATTCAAAACGTTTTTTGGAGCTAGGACAGGGCTCTCTTTCCCGATTACCAGCTGAATGGAACAGTGTAGGCAAAGGAAAGGGTCATGTTAAAGTAAACCTGCGCTTAACCGATTACAGGGCAAAGCAACAGGTTGGATTTATTGCCCCTCCGGGCCTCAGGCATTTACTAATTTTTTACTGATTCCTTCCTGAGAATATGACTCGTCCCCTTTCTTCCATGCGACAGCACTGGAATTTGGTGACTGGCCCAAACGAAGGGGGAAGGTAGTCCCCTGTAAACCTCAACTGGGATCAATGTAGAGATACACAGGGCTCCTTAGGGAAGCCAGTAGAAGATGCTGCAGGGATCTACATGGTCCCTACATAGGAAAAGAACAGGTTTGCTTAAAGCGAGCCTTGCACTTCAGTCAATGTTCACTCATTCAATGTGGCTCCTCCTTCCTTAAATGTTGCATACATTCCAAAAAAGAACCGGTGGGGGGAAAAATAATATATTCACCTTTCCGCGACTTCTGTAGTGAAGGGGGTGACATCATGCTCTTGCCAATCATATCCGTGGGAAAGGGGAGTAGCCCAAATCTTGCAAGCAGCAGTCTTTTCGTGGGATTTGGGCTAGTCAACATGCTAAGAGATCTGGCTGGAAGGACGATGACATCCCCCTTGCCTAGGCAAAGATAAATATATTATCTTATCCGCCCCATCCATGTTTTTTTTTCTTTTACACCTTCAAACAGTATTTTTATGGAGGTGTGGGCTGGCACCTTGAATAAGCACACCTTGCCAGTGAGCTGTAAAGTCAATTAAACATTCTGTGTAACAAGAACAGACAGGAATTCTACAATTCAAATTGCTGAAATAAGCCATTGGTTTCAGCAGCTTTAGGAAAGATGAGCATTTCTGAGTCCTCTGTAAGCTCAAAAGACATAATACACATTGTTAGACTAGCGACCAGTCCAGGTTAGCTAAATAAGAGACAGGTACTTCAGTAAGTTGACCTCAAACACCCAACATACAGTATTTCTTATTATTAGTAAGGCTTTAACAGTCCAGGTTAGCTAAATAAGAGACAGGTAAGTTGACCTCAAACACCCAACATACAGTATTTCTTATTATTAGTAAGGCTTTACATACCTGGTGCAGTATACACAAGAGAAGCTTGTGTTGAGGAGTTAAAGCATCAGTCTACCCAAAATTATTCTCAGTTATATGATTAAACTGGTGGTCACACATGGGGCAAGTTCCTTGCAAATCTGTAGCTCTCTTCCTGCTAAAATAAGAAAGTTCCCACTTCTCAAAAACCTAATAGGTGGAGACCTCCTTGAAAATACTGTATAAAGATGGCCATACACCTTACAACTTTCATTGTGCGATGGTTGTAAGGTGATAAAAATTTCGTACAACCTGCCCATCGTGGATAGGCAGATCGTACTTGCGATCATCGCAAGTCCTCCCCGCTGAGGGGAGGGCTTACAGATGATTGCAATGTTGAGCGGGCAGTGTGCGCTTACGCACCTCAGGCCGTGCGGCTTTTGTCTTGCGATTGCGCTACCAACCCACCAAAAATCGTACGGTTTTCTAGCGTGCTCGTAATACGAAAATCATGCGACCTTACAGTAAATGTGGTCGCACGCTGCCCATACACCTTACGATTATCGTACGATCGTGGGATCACCCGCGATTAGTGTACAATAATCGTCTGGTGTATGGGCAGCTTTAGGTGCAGATTAAGAGATCTTAAGGTGCCCATACACCTTACGACCATCGCAAGACTTTTGTCTTGCGATGGTCGTATGCTTCTTGAAAGTCCGTACGATCTGCCCACCTTGGACGGGCAGATCGTACTTGCGATCGTCGAAAGCCCGCCCCGCTGAGGGGAGGGCTTCTGATGACGGCAATGCAGAACGGGCAGTGTGCGCGTGCACACACCGGCCCGTTCCGCAGCTATCGGGCGAGCAGGCTAGAAACCCGCCGAGAATCGTACGATTCTCGGTGGGTTTTCGAACATGTTGGCTCGACAAAAGACGTGCGACCGTACAGTAGAAACGGTCGCACGTCTTAGTTCACACTGCTCGAT